GAGCGCAGCGCTGCGCGGAAACCGAGGAGAGACGGGGCGCGCAGGGGGGGGATCGATCCGGAGGCGACGGCCGGCCCGCCAGGATTTGGGGCGGCCGGCAGGACGGAAGGGAGCGCGGAAGGGAGGGTGCCTAGCTCGGCTACTCACTCCGCGTCCTTCTCCGGAGCCGATCTTGGAAAGAAGCCGGCTCCCTCGCCGCGGCGTCCGGCTCCGGCCGCTGCCTCTGCCCGGGAAAGGAAGACGATCCACCGCCGGCGGGCAGGGCAAGCTGCGCGGCCCCCGCTTCCCGTTTCGCCTCGGGCGCAGCCAGCCTTGCTCACGGCGCAACCGTCCCGGCTGGTTCTGAGCTGGAGGGGGCAGGGGGAGGGCTATCCAGGCTGCGATCCTGGACGCACTTGCGCGCGAGGAGACCCCCCCGCCGGCGTAAGCGCGGCTTCCCTCCCAGCGCCCGTGCGGTAACCCGCTCCCCCATGCGCGCGCCTTGCGCCCTTTTTTTGCATCCTTATTTTCCGAGCCGGGGGGCGGGGGAGATCCGCTACATGGTGCTCAGCCTCCCTTCCCTTCTCACCGCTTTTTTCCTCCTTCTGTTCCTGACACCCCAGACGTCTCCGTAGGATTCCCCCCCCCCGGTAACCCGCTCCCCCATGCGCGCGCCTTGCGCCCTTTTTTTTGCATCCTTATTTTCCGAGCCGGGGGGCGGGGGAGATCCGCTACATGGTGCTCAGCCTCCCTTCCCTTCTCACCGCTTTTTTCCTCCTTCTGTTCCTGACACCCCAGACGTCTCCGTAGGATTCCCCCCCCCTTGCCTCTTGGCATAATTTGGGGTTTTCGCGCAAAACACGCGTCTTTGTATCGTGGGAAAACTGCGCCCACCAGGGAAAGCGAAGACGCTGGCCTCTTCGGTGCAGAGGCAAAACGGCGCTCCCCGGAGACCCTTGAGGGAGGCCAAACCGAGGGGAGCCCCCCCCCAAGAGCAAACCGGAGGCGGGGTGCTCCGGTAGACGTCCTATGTGGCCGGAGAATCGGCGCTCATGGCTGCGGAGCAGGGCATGGAAAAGCGACTTTGGGGGGGATGGGGACTGTCACTCTCCCGACTAGGCAGGCTGGAGAATTCTAGGTGATACACTGCCAAAAATGTAACTTTTCCAAAGTCTGGTCGTCTGGACAGATAAGGAGTCTCAGTAATCTGTTACACACGGGTGTGTGCGTGCCCGTGATTCCAATCACACCTCAGAATGAAGAGGCTGAGAGGGAATAAAAGTGGATACAGGCAATCTGCATGAGATTGGTTTCTTTGTGTTTTTGTGTGCTTGACACACAGAGAAAAAGACTCTTTAGTCTGAAACCCAACTTCTGGACTCACCCTGTGCTCAGAGGCACTCTTATTCTTTAAATACAAGCAGAGTTGGATCTGGAGTGGGGGATTTCTGATCCAAAAGCAAAATCTATTAATGTGCACAAGGAAACTAACTGAACCATCCTGACCATCTCAGAGCTTTGGGGAGGTTAATTTTCTTTATACTACAACTCCCAGAATGCCTGAACCAGCATGCTGGGGTTTGTATTCCAAAGAGGGGGAAAGAAACCTCTCCAATTTTAAGATTCCGACAAAGGAATCCTTTCTCCCTTCCCACCCTACGGCCACAATGGCAATCCCAGTAGAAAATAATGTTTACTGTGGGGTGATTGCCTAAGAAGTTTTGCCAGCCTCTTTCATAACACGACAGACAGCCTGGGGTGCATCGTGGCACTCTGTATAGAAGGGTTTGGGTGGAGAAAAAACCAGCATCTCTTTAATCAGTGCATAGACTGTGGAACTCACCTCCACAATAAGTAGCCATGGATGCCAAATTGGGAGCAGCCTTAATGGGGAATTACCCAGTTCTGGAGGGTGAGGTTCGCAATAGCTTCTAGCCATCATAGCATCACATCCTCTCCGGGACAATATTTGCTAGTGAGCAACAAATACTATCCTGGGAGTACTTTTCCTACTCATCTCTTGCTGGTTAGCATCTGCTTGGCTGGGGTGTGAACCAGCTCTTGCACTACACTGCCCCTTGGTCCAATCCTGTGTGGCTCTTATATTCTTGAAATATTCGTCCAGTTCTGCACATGCATACCCCTCCAGGTTGCGGAATTAAGATCATTAAACGTCTTATCTGGCAGATAATTTCCACCAGTTAGACATGTCTGAGCCTAAACAAGGTTTCAGAAACATGGAGCTTTTTAATCATGCTCTGATTTAAGAAGACACACACACACCCCTTCGTACCATGACCTGACAAAAAAACACAATAGCGCACTCGTCTTCCATTTCTAGCAGCCTCTCTCATCAGATCATTTCTCCGTTCAGAATAAAAAGCTCCGTGCATTGCAAAAAGAACAATGCATTACAGGAGCATATAATGACCATCATTGTGCGCCATCAAGTTAGTTCTGACTTATAGTGACCCCTTTCCAGGGTTTTCTAGGGAAAGAATACTCAGAAACGGTTCACCATTCCCTTTTTCTAGGGTGCCTTGGGAACACGGTGCAGCTTGCCCAAGGCCACCCAGGCTGGCTTTCCTCACAGCAGGGAGGCACAGTGGGGATTCGAACTCCCAACCTCCACAGCAAGATACCTGACTCACTGGAGTAACATGTAGGCTGATATAACTGTGCCCATTTTGCAGGTGAGGAGGAGTAAGTCTGAGGCTAGGAGTGACGTCAGCCAGCTGTGCTCACTTCCATCTTTTATTTTATTAAAAGTCTGTTGGGGGGGAAGCAAGATGGGCAGGCAGTGTTTTTCCCAGTGGCGTGGCTAAGAGCCCTCCGCCTGGAAGCCTCCAGAGTCCCCGCAGGCCACCCAAAATCGCTCATTCCGATTCTTCCTCTTCCTCTATCCTTGCTTCCTTGGACCAATGGGATGCAGGCCTTCCTTTGCGGGTGTAAAGGGCTCCTTAATGCGAAAACTGCTAATTCGTGGGACCTGCAAATCACAAGTCATGACTCCTAAACCCACCTTTTAAAAGCACAGATGGGAAACATTCTTGTTTGGGCAACAGTGCCCAGAATCCCCAGTGGCCATGGTGGCTGGGGGACACTGGGAGATGGTGTCCAAAACACTCAATTTTCTGATTTTGCTTCAGGCTTGGTTTGCTTCCATTTTGGACTCAAGTTCTTTCCCTTCTCTGCAAAACCAACTCTTTTTTTAATCCCATCCTTCCAGGAAAGCCAAAAGTCTACCAAGGGGTCCGAGTCAAGATCACAGTGAAGGAGCTTCTGCAGCAGAGGAGAGCCAAGCAGGCGGTAGCAGAGGAAGCTGTAAGCCCCTTTCCCCTTTTTCATGCTTGGGGACCTTTTTAGGGATCGGGGAGGTCGGTCAGGTGAGTGTCTATATACAGGTATATTGAAGCTACAATATTGAAGCCCTTCTAGCTGAAGAAGAAGAAGAAGAAGAAGAAGAAGAAGAAGAAGAAGAAGAAGAAGAAGAAGAAGAAGAAGAAGAAGAAGAAGAAGAAGAAGAAGAAGAAGAAGAAATTCCTTCATATAGAAAGCTAGGATGTCAGGGAGAAGTGCAGGTTAGAACCTTTTCCCCTGAGATACTAGTTTTCCATGTGCAAGGTGTTGTGCCTTCTTCAACCAATGCAATTGGGAATGCATCTTCCACTGGCTGCCGTGGAAGGGCATAGTTCAGCAAAGTATTTTTAGACTAGGCTGGCCTATGTAGACACACACAACGTCTATGTGTGTTGGGTACCTTAGCACATCCCAAAAAAGCCTCTCTCCACAGTGTTTGGTGTTCAGGGGTTTGTCTGTCCAAACCAACTCTCTGTTTGCACCCTCTTTATTTGATCCCCCCCTCTGCTTCCAGTTTCTAAATAGTGCTCCCCAAAGCCGCAGCACCCACCCCAAAAGAGTAAGTGTCCAGCCAACAAGGGGGGGACCCAAAATCCATGAAAATGCAAACCATGTTTCTGGAGGATTAAGGACGGGGCTCATGGAACAGCCCAGAGGAGACTGAGCATGTCCAGCACCACAGAATGCTGGCTCCTAAATGAATCCTTTCTGGACATGACCAGCCTGGAGTTCGTAGTCCCCACACGGCCGCCTTTCCCAGCGCTGAGTGGGCGCCCTATTTTTGCACCCAGTGGCCCTTGCCCTCCAGGGTTTCCAAGCGGAGTCTTCCCCAGGTGCGGCTGCAGAGGCCATGGGCTCAAATTGGGTCGGTTCCAACAGCTGAGGGCTGCTCCCTGCCTGACTCCCGCCTTGCGGAGGGGTGCGTTCAGGTTGAGGGACTGATATCTGTGTGATGTTTATGGCCCAAGGAGCCAGCGATGCTGCAGCCCAGGCCAGCCTGTGGTCCCTTACACTCCAGACATCAAGGCACGACTCTGGCTGCCCCCCCTCCCCGTCAGTAGCAAAGCTTGGAAGTAATGCGCCAGGAAGAACTTGTGCCACACTTTTTGACGCTGGCGCATAAGACGCTGTCGCTCCTTTTCCCGGAAAGTTTGACCAGCTGCCTTTCCCACCGACATCCAGGCTCCTTTGTAGCAAGCAACAAAATAAGAGTGTGGCACGGTGCGTCAGAAGGATGTCAAAGGATCCATCTTTGCCACGTTCTTTATTCCAGGCTGCAAAGGGACACTTTTGGCCACCGTAAACTTCTTTTCCATCAGCAAAAATAAAACCTAGCCCCTCTCGGCAAAGCGCCTTCACTTGAAATACGCGTCGCCCGTGTGGCCCATGTTTAAAACTTTTTTCTTTTTCATGCCTTGCAGACAAGCGCTGTTCTCTCTTCTTTTTTGCTGACGATGCAAGTTTTAAAAAGTCCTTGTGCCTGTAGGTTTAAAAAAAGATAGTTTGTTTCCTGATCGTGAGGTGAGGCAGAAAGAAACAGTGCAAATAGTTTAGTAATAAATAAGCAAATATCCCAGAGTTGACGGTTCTGCAAAGTGAACCTCACAGTAAATGCTACATTCACTTTGCCAACGAAAAACACCCCATTGGATGACGAACAGAGGTAGGCAAAAACTCTACCCACTCTTGAGAAATTTCACTGGGAAACCCATCTAGCCTTTCAGCCACCTTGGAAGACAGCTCTTCAGGTAGCATTGAATTTCTCTTCAGGTGAACCCCAGCTGTCACCTCTAGACTTCGGCCGTTCACAATATCTTCTTGAGGCTTCGTACATAAAAAAAAAACATCTGTCGGAGAAAAACGGCTTTTACAGATCCAACAGCAGGCAAGCCGAATTTACAGAGTTGTATATTCCATGGGAAAAACCGTCTCTTGGATAGGAGCCGTTCCCTGTGGGTGACCTTCCACTTACCTTTTTATATTTCCTGCTCCTTGGTGCGGCTTTACAGCCACATTAAAAAGAGAGAGAGAGAGAGAGAGAGAGAGAGAGAGAGAGATAGAGACATTTAAAACATGTTTGTTTCAAAAATAAAACCGACTCCCACGTAGTTCCTTGTGGCAAACGGCAAACAGGGACCAATGCCCACAGTTCAGTAGTGCCAGAAACTGAGGCCGTGTTTCAGCAATATCAGAGTGGTTGGTGGGGTGGGGAGCAGGCATCGGATTCATTAGCTGACGAATCACTAATAAGATCCAGGATAGCCACAGTGGAAATATATTCAGATAAAGGCTGGGAGCAGCTTATGTACTGAGCCCGTTCCAGGTTGAATCCACATTCCCAGCTATTTCACAAACACAGATGCTGGACTTACCTCCACTCTGTAAGGGAATGAAAGCAAAGAGTGATAATTCTGCTTTTTTTACACGGAGAAGCACCCCGACTTTGCTTTTGCTTTGTTCTTTTATTTTAAAATATCTATCTATATATATTTATTCTCAGGTTTCTGGAGAAGGCTGCAGCAGCGTCCAAATTGCGGAGTCTTTCTCTCCTCCTTCTACAGGTTGGTGCAAAAAAATAAAAATAAAAAAATTCCCCCCCTCCCCGCCGCCCCCAGCTATGCAGAGTCCCAAACAAGGTTATCCAGACTTCCTAAACCGATTCCCAGAAGTTGCATCTTGAATCCTCAACGGGAGCCGGGCCCTGCAGATATTTCACTCTCCACCCAACCAATCGGAAAGCATGGAAAGAGCTTGCTAAATGCAGATGAGGACATGGGGGTGGGTGGCTTTTGGGGTGAGGAGGGTGGGGAAAAGGCGCCGGGCAAGGTTTTTTAAAGCCTCACTAAAAGACTTTGCTCTTTGTTTTTATTCCTTGTCAATTCCCACTCCCCCAGGATCAGCCACGAGGGAAACCTCACACTCCTATCTATGCCTTCCTTTCCTTCTTGCCATAAAGGGTTTTATTA